TTAAAACAAGCGCTATTTTATTTTTCGAGGTATTTTTAAACGCATATTTTAAAAAAAAACAATATAAAAAGCTAAAACCAATAACTACGGGCTAATGGCTAAAAACTGTATAGCTAAAACGATAACCGAAGATTGGGAATACGCCCTGATAGATTCTAGAGGTTGTTCGACGGACGATAAGTTATTCGAAAATTTCCAAGTTAATTCTGATCGCAGCATCTCAGCCTTTTTCAGCGCTTTCAAGTTTCCTAATTCGGTGTACATGCGTTTTAAATGCGAAGTCAAAATCTGTTTTGGCTCTTGTGAGCCGGTAAGCTAATCTAGCTCAATTTTTCATCATCATTATTATTTTATTTTTTAAAAACCATTGTATACTTATTTTGCATTACGTTCATAGGCTATGTGCAATGGTTCTAACATCCCACAAAGACTGTATAAGCGAGATATTCAGCCTAACACAAATAAATCTAACATGGTCATAGAAAAAGTTGAGAGCCGTTTAATGAAAATTAAAGTGAGATCTGACGAAGACTACGATTACTTTGAAGACATTGGTAAATTTCTTTTTTTTAAAAAAGGTCTAATTAAGATATCAGGATGCATTTAGTGTTCTTAAGCGACTCGTTTTGAGCCGATTTAACTCAATATTTTATCAGGAAAAATGTTATGCAAAACCTTAAGATTTTGCTCATAGGTGTCACAAAGGTTTGAACATCTATTAACGAAATCTCGAGGTGTAGACAATATTTTTATGGCTAAAATATTGAGTTAGCCGTTTAACAACACTAGATGTATTGGTTGTTTTAAAAAAACCATCTCTTTATTTAAAATATAAATACCTTATCGTAGAGGAAGATGATATATACGTTTACGAGGAAAATGGATACCACAAAACTGATCAGGAATTAAGGGGTCAAATGTCCAACACAATACCCAATTTAAAAGAATATACTGGAGGTAACCTTAAGGCAATAAACAAATTGCGTAAATCGCATATCTACAACAATCCAACGGACCACAGTCTTAACCCTGTAAGACCTTTAACCTGCGTTTCTAAAGTAGGATTAGCCACGGGGTTATCTTTAACGCTAGTACTGACCATGCTAGGAGCTTCGATATTAGCAGTTTCGGTCAAAAGGCAGGTCCGTTCCTATCCGCAATCCACCATCATGGTCTCGCCCACCCTTATATCAACGATGCAATCCCCTCTGGGCAGCTGTGGAAGCAGTAATACAAGCTACATCTGTACACCTTCTCAAATTATCCGTCAGAATAAACTGGATAGCAAACTAATGAAATTGAAAGCAAAATCTTTTCATCAATCGTTAGAGGCCGAAGATGATTGCGAGAAAAACATTAATTTTTATCGAAGGGGACACTTGCCAGAGAATGGAACGTCTTTTAACACCGATTCCTTTTCATCCAACATAACTTACACTTCTACATCTATCGAGCCATGTACAGACTATGGATCCTCAAGAAACGAAGCCATAGTAGAAAGAGATCACGGCATTAGATCCTTTTACAATAACGCCTTCGAAAATTGAAATTTATTATCCAACGGGGAAGGGATCCAGAAAATAGAATACAGAATTTTCTCTGGCAAAATTTAGAATGATATTTCTTCGCTATTTAAATTTTATTTCGTAAAAAAAATAAGATTTTTAAATAAAGTTTAAATATAAAATAAAAAACACGTACGATCTGTTTTTTATATTTATTTATTTTTATAGTCCTTAAAATTTAATACTATAAATTGTCATATATTTTTTTAATCGTAAACTCTATAACTTAAAAAATGTAAAAGTAAAGCAAAATGTTACAATTTAGATGTTTTTCCAATATTACTATATAATTATACAAAAAATATCCCCGTTATTAACAACAAAAAAATGAAAATTTAGACCCTAAGTAAATAATTAGACAATTCAAAATTAATTAAATAATTTTTTATTTTTTTGTAATATTATATGATATAGACCGAATTTTTTATTTATTTCTTATGTAATTTGGGTATGAAAAAAGTGTATGATTAATAATTATTTATATTTGACTCGAAAGAATAAATTAATGTTTAACGAAAAAAAAACATATTTTATTATTATTATAAGCGTTATGTTGGTTAATTATTTTGATTTCTTTCTGTTCTAAACACAACTAGTGTTTGTTAAACCGTACGATCGATTTTTAACAACGGCTAAATTTAATATTTTAGCCCCAAGAGAATATTGTTCTAAGCCTAGAGATTTCGTTAATAGATGTACCAAAACTTTTGTGTCATCCAAGCAAAATCGTTAGGGTTTGCATAATATTCTGAATAAAATACTGAGTTAGCCGTTTAAAAATACTCATTTTGAGCCATTTGACACCACTAGGTAATTATTTTGATTTCTCTATCTAACAACCTTCTCTGAAGTAAAGGATGATTTTTAAATTGCTACATTTTAAATAAATCAATTTGCTATGATCAATGTTTTCTATTTAAATTAAATAATTGCTGTCTTTAATTTTTTTTTAAAAAAATATATATATTTCTTAACTTAGAATGTGATATGCTTTAAGTGCGTATTTGATATGAGGATATTTTCATAACAGTTCATATCAAGGTAATTACATTTATTAACAATCTATCACCACTTTCACCTTTTCCAGCTAGCTAGATCAGTTCAAAATAGCGAAGAATGAAATAGGGTGATGATTTATTCATTATTTTCGATATAAGCATAGGTGAATTAAGTGGTTTTCCAAGATGTAATTCTATCTCATGTAGTGGAGATTATTAGGGTAAACTCTCCATTTAATATCAATTAGGGGAAAAAGATTAAACATAATAATAAATGCAATCGATCCAATTTTACTATCTGAAACGGACAATGACTGACCATAGCAATCAAACTTAGGACTAACTATAGTCTACCAGTTATTTTTTAGCTCATACCTAGTTACGGTAATACATAATATTTGGTTTAAGCTCCATTAAAAACCATTTGTGTTTTATAGAAGCATAGAAATTTATTTTAAACTTTAGAAAATCAAATTAATTCCATTAAAATTTACAATTTGATAGTAGTATAATAGCTGTTATATTTATCTAACGAAAATAAAAGAAATTACCGAAAAAGTCAAGTAATAATCGTGTTACGGATTTTCGATGTCCGAAATAAGACTATGATGTGTGCTGTATTGAATGACTCTCATTTGAGTATAATAGACAAGCAAAAATTTTCCAGGGTGAAACACTTTGTGGACGTTTTCCTTTAAATATTATTTGGAAAGATTTATCCGCACTTCTTTGAAGGCATTTGGAGTGGTTTAGGCTATAAAATTTCAAAAAAAAAAAATTCAATATCTTACGATATCACATTCATTAACTAACTATCCCCCTCTCCCATTCAATTCCGATGAAGATCTTGCAATCATACCCTACTCCCCTCTCCAATTCATTTTCTATGGTAGAAATCTCTGTGCAGCTTTAGAACACTTACTAGTCTGGCGTGGATAAATTTCATATATATATATATATCAGTTTAGTTAGGTTTAAGTCTGGTGGGATTTCTTCGTGCAAATTCATCACCCACCAGGAGTTCGAGTGAGCATGTATCTTCACATAATATATATAACCTACACATGACGTCTACCCGTTTTACTATAGCGGACGGTACCACTATGTAGGTACCACTATGTAGTCAGTTAACATAGTAATGGAAGAGGAGTGAATGAGTCGTCGGTCGAGGTATTATATATGTCATTGAACACAACACATCCACCATTTTATATAACATTATAAATTATAGATTTTTGTATAATTTTAATCATTTTTAAATTTGTCATTTAAAATTGTTTAATTCCTCAACATCATTCCACAAATTTCTCAATTTTTGAGTATAACATGTGATGTGCCGATAAAATAACTGTTTTTTTTACCAATCTTCAGGAAGGAAATATGAAGGTAAAAATATTAAGGGATTTTAAGAAATTCATAAATATTTTGGTGTGGCATTTTATTTTTAACCTTTTATTTTTCAAAAATTTAATTTTTTTTACTAAAGACCAACTCTAACTTTACAAGATATAATTTTTTGAAAATTAGGGGAATATAAATTACAATTAATTCGTGGAATAATCTAAATTTTATCTCCATTTAAATTTATGATCATTATACATACCATAAACAGCATCATAAGAACTAATGATTGGCATGAAGCCTAATTTTTCAAGCCCAGCCCGGCCCAAACCCGAAATTTTTTTTAAGAAAGTTTACGGCCCCGGCTTGGACCGAACTTATTTAAATATAAAATTAATTTTTTTTATAATTACTAAAAATAAATGACATATGTTATATGGCATCTAGTTCTATAAATAAAATGAAAATATTTTTATTTTACATAAAAAAATTGATATATAAAATTGATAAATTTAAATATATATTTAAAAAAATTTCCAAAGCCAGACCTGGCCCGAATTTTATTTAAAAATATTACCCGAACCGGCCCGAATCAGATATTTTTAAAGTTCGGGCTGGGTCGGGCTGGGTGTGGATCGGAGCTACTTTGCAGAATTTTTTAATAAGAACATCTACCATCATTTTTTAAAGGTTTCGATTGGATAATTAACAACCTTGGATTTAAAAAAAAAATATATATATATTTCAAATATACTTTTATTCAATCTATCTTTCATTTTTAAAATATTTTATCTTTTATAAAATTAAGACAAACACTATTTAAGTTAAATAAATAATTGTATAAAAGCAAAGGAGAAAAAAAATATATTTAAAAATCTTATACTAACCTTGAAGCCGAGGTATAATTATCATTGGCTAAAAAATCTTTTATTTTTCATTTAATTTTATTAATTATCGTTTTTTTAATTGTTTTTACCATTGGCTTATTTTTTTATCTTAAAGATAAATTACATATGCATTATCCTTTATTTTCAATTATAATATACTATATATATTAAAAAATTTTAATTTTTCTTTAGATAACAATATATATATATAAAGAATTATTTAAAATAATAATTTAGTCTAAGAAATCAATTTGTTAAATTTATGTAATTGATATTCCTAAAACAAATTTCTTTAACAGAGGATAAGGAGAAGTATACTATTATTTTTCTAATAAAAGTGAAGAAGTTATGAAGGTAAAAAATAAGATAATATTTTAAATAATTATATGTTTTAGTAAAATAATTTATTAAATTTATATTTAATAAATATTTTTTTTCCTATTCCAAATATATAAAAATATCATTAAATTTAAGTTATAACAATTATAAAAAATTATTAATGTAGGTAAGAAAAAAAATATAAAATAGGAACACCATGCGTGCTGGACTAGGAGGGAAAAGGGAGTGTTTCCAAGAAACACTTGCTTTTCTGCTTTAGGATTTCGGTTTGGATTTGTTGTTTAAGAAATAGGGACTCGTTTTTGACCCCTGTCCTTAATGAAATTCTTATATCCAATTAATTTAAGAACTATGGGGATTAGAAATTAGGGGAATAAAAAAGAATTAGGGAGAGATTTTTTAAACTTATTGATTTGAGCTTCAAGGGGTTCGGTATTTCCGTTAGCCGGAAAGGAGGTAACACCCGGCACGTCCCTGACAAGTCTTTTGCCACCGTGCCAAGACGTCAAAGACATGCCGTCGGGACGCTTATCGTCAGCATTTAGGAGACTAACGGCTCCAAACTATTGGGGAAACCGGCCGAAATCAAGGCTTTGCCGATTAACCTATTTAGGTTGTCGTGCCTCAGAAAACGGCCACTGACTTTGAGACAAGAAAAACAATGTCTAGAGAAGGGATCAATCTGTTTGCAGCAGTCAGCACAGGTGTCTACAGAAGGGATAAAGCAACCAAGCCTATGGCCAATGATAGTTTGAAACTCATCGTCTGTCAGGTAACGATTTCTTTTTACCACTCGGAATCGCGTCTAGTCATTCATGGCCGTTACAATTTTATTTTGCGTTTCTGAGCAGTTGCAGATCAGTTAGATGCGGGACACAGACAAAGTTTTTCAAATGCGCATTGAAGTGTAGGAACCCCAGGAAGCTCTTTAGATGACTGGAATAAAATTTTAAATCTCACAGTATACATATCGGAGATCCCGGATTTTTTTTATTAATATAATATTTTCATTTTTATAAGCTGTGGTTTTAAAATTTACAGACGGGTCGGAGTATTTTTTAGCAAAAATTTTTTTAGGCTCGGCCCGTATACCCTAGGGTGGGGCTTCAGGTTCCTTTTATATATATTTCAAGCCAAAGTCATGCATGCAATATTTTTTAAATTTAGATTAATTTTTATCGGATTAAGATTGTAAAAAAAAATATTTTTTTTGTGTAGACCCTGAGAGGTCTTGCCATAGAATGGGCTGAATAGTATGATTTTGGATTAGGGACTAAAAACAAAATTATTATCGATTAGTGAGATAGTGTTGAAAAATCCTTATACTACATATCTTTCAATTTCTCCTTGAAACAATTTGTAAAATTATTTTAAAAAAACATAATTTTTTAAAAATTCAGGGTCGGTTCGTTAAATACAAATCGGACCGAACCTAAAATTTTGAACATTTAACGGATTTCTTCTTTTCTTAGAAAATCACAAAGTTTGGTACTTTATATTATTAAAGGAAATAGATTTATTTTAAAAAAATGTGTGCCAATTTAAAGGCATAGATAAGGGAATGGGAAGTTGAAATTGAATATCATAAAAATTTAAAATTAAGAGAAAAAAAATGATATTTGTGGTGCAGGGTTGGGCAGTATCGCGGATATTTGTAACTAAGATACATGTAACTTGTATCTTATCAAAATTATCAAAGTTCTGGGTAAGTGTACCGTTAAAGTCGAGGTAAAAAAAAAAGGTATAGTTCTAAATTTTTTACCGATTTGGTAGTAGTTAAAATGGAGATAATTCTCTCAGTTTTTCTGGAATGCCTTTTCTTAGAGAATTTATAAAGCTTTCCGGAAGAAGTTTGGGATAAATAATATAAATATTCGATTTAAAAAAAAAAATCGTTTCTTACCTTTTAATACGATGGCCTCAAAATTTTACTCAAAACCAAATGCATCAACGTGTAGCTTTTACAAAGCAATATGAGTTTCATTTAAGCTGTGTCAAACCGTAGAAGCAACGTCTAAAACAAAACTAAAAAAATGCTGTCCAATTTAAACGAATGCGTTTAAAAATGCATAATTTGCGTTTTGAAAATCTGCGTTGAAAACGTAGAATTTATGCGCATTATTAGACTACTACATTTCATTTGCCTATATATCTAATTTTTACTATTCTCAATGAGGCCATAGGTTTTAGGTCAAGATGTGGAAACCTTCCATATTTCAATCCAAATGTAAAGAAATTTTTTTTATCAGAATGGGTGATGGTAATTAATCTACACTCGGTCATACTGTAGAAAAAATTTAATATTATTTTTCAAAATTTTAAACTTTTATCAATATTACAATCTTTTTTTCTGTGTCCAAAAATATATTAAGACACGCGTTATTACAATTTTGAAGCAAATTTTGACCAAAAATGTCAATTTATCGACCTCTCTTAACGAGTGCCCATACAAGGTCTCAGAATATGTCGATCACAATCCTAACCCAAAACTTAGCACTTCACTGGCTGATACTGTAGATTCCTTAGGTTTCGAATCGGATCATCAACCAAATATCGTTTCCGCTGAAATGGCCTCTCCGAACTTAGAAATTAGGATTACTCCAAAAAAACCCGAACAGCTGGCAAAATCATCTATCAATGATCCCACTATAAAGACTTCTGCTCAGAAATCGTTTCACGAAATACCCGGGCCTAGGGGCTTGCCTTTTATCGGAACTTTGCTAAATTACACTACCAAAAATTCCACTTACAGCTTAAATCATATGTTTTTGGTAAAAAAAATAATTTATTTAATATAGCACAATACCTTTTATTCTTCTCAAAGACCGGTGGCTCCCATAACCGGGTCCATAAAGGCTGGCGAGATATTTGTACCCAACCAACTCTTCTATTCGTGCTTGGCTTCATTTTTTTGTTTATTTGAACAATAACCTTGCCTCAGCTGATTATCATATTGTGAATCATTTAACATGGATTTTACGGTTTATAACGAACCCCTCCTCATCAATAACTTCTTTCTTTCCTTCTTTCTTTCTTTCTTTCTTTCTTTCTTTCTTTCTTTCTTTCTTTCTTTCTTTCTTCTTCTTTCTTTCTTTCTTTCTTTCTTTCTTTCTTTCTTTCTTCTCTCTTCTTTCTTTCTTTCTTTCTTTCTTTCTTTCTTTCTTTCTTTCTTTCTTTCTTTCTTTCTTTCATTCACAAAAAAAAACTCAATGAGTAAGTTAACTAATTATTTTTTGGCGGGAGGCGAGATGTTATATTTTTTTTGACAAATTGGCATATTTCTTTCTTATAATTTTAAGTCTAAAATTGCGGGTACAATTTTATTCAATGCTATTTATTATATCTTATCAATTTTTTTATAATATGAATAAATGAACACTCATTACATATATTTACTCGCCCTAAATTCAAATAGAATCTGAAATGGAGATAAACAAGCTGCCGCCAGGAATAGAAAAATACTTTGGTTTAAGGCTAACTTAAAATTTTTGGGTCCATTTATAAAATGAATTTTGAAAAATTAAAAAAAAAACTAGTATGTAATATTAAAGTATTTGGTAGCAATTTTCGTATTTTATTCTCGTTTTTTTTTCATTTTTTTGAAATTTTTTACAAAACTTTAATATAAAAAAAATGGAAGATTTCGGACATGGTTCATAATTTTATTAATTTTGCGAAAATTTATAAATTTTTACGTTTTTTTTTCCAAAACATTTTGACACAGCCTAATATATAATATTTAAAAAAAAAATTCTTCCTAATTCCTCATAATCTTTACATTATGTATAATAAATTATCAAAAGTATCAGGATATAAACAAATTAAAAAGTTTGAACGATGACAAAAAACAAACAAATTTGGAACCAAAATCATCAGCCACCACAACTGGGAATGATCTCAGGAATCATATCTAAAACCCTTTTCAGTTCTAGCAAAAGTGGCAACTTATAATATGATTTAAAGCTTTATTTAGTCCGCATTGTTTATTAACAGAGTTTTGGAAAACCACACCCAAGAAACATCGGAACCAAGTCAAAAATCTAAGGACTGTAAATTTCTAATCCATTGATCTATAATTTTCTCATCTCACCGTATACAAATATCCTCAAGATACACTTAAATTAACTTAGGAAAACTGTTATAAATTAAAAAAAAATTTATTTCTGTGAACTCCGTGAAAAAATCATTGTTAAACTTTAGGGATCTTATTATAACTTACTTTACAATAAAATATGGCGACTTAAAAAATTAAATTCCAAAACTTGAATCATATGTTTTTGATAAACAAAAAAATAATTCTATCATTAAAAGATAGGCACAAATCTAATATTCTGAATTTCAAATAATTTATTCTATTCTCTATTACCGTTCTTAAATTTTTTTTAAAAAATCATTTTATAAATAATTTTGTTTATATTTCGTAAATCGTTTCAAAATGAGCAGCTGATGAAAGTTTGAAAGTTAAATGATTCATATATACCTACTTCCTGTCCATTCGTCCCCGATTCTGGGTCAGGCCCGCAGGTCTTTGATTTGAGTTAGATACATTTGATAATACATTTCTAGAATAATATTACAGTTAAGAATTGCTTTTTTTAAAAAAAATACAACTTTAAAAAAAGTCTCAGCTAGAAAGATCTAAGCAATTCGGACCGATTTACAAGGAAAAGATAGGACCCAACTCCGCTGTTTACGTAACAGATGCTAAGATATATGAGAAGATTCTCAGAGTCGAAGGGCCAACACCTTACAGAATGATATTAGAACCCATGTTAATATACCGAAAGAAAAGGAAATTAGCTATCGGAATGAGCAACTCGTAAACACTTTCTTTCTTTCTTTTCTTTCTTTCTTTCTTTCTTTCTTTCTTTCTTTCTTTCTTTCTTTCTTTCTTTCTTTCTTTCTTTCTTTCTTTCTTTCTTTCTTTCTTTCTTTCTTTCTTTCTTTCTTTCTTTCTTTCTTTCTTTCTTTCTTTCTTTCTTTCTTTCTTTCTTTCTTTCTTTCTTTCTTTCTTTCTTTCTTTCTTTCTTTCTTTCTTTCTTTCTTTCTTTCTTTCTTTCTTTCTTTCTTTCTTTCTTTCTTTCTTTCTTTCTTTCTTTCTTTCTTTCTTTCTTTCTTTCTTTCTTTCTAACTTTCTTTCTTTTTATATTTTATCTAAGTTTTGGAGGCAATTACGATATAAAGGCCTGGTCGGTGGGTTATTGTTTAGTTCACATAAAAATGTTTTTTGGAAGGCGTTCCGGAAACGTCTCGACACATGGGCGGGGCGGGAACGGAATTTCTTTTTTTTGGTTGGAACAGGAAAGCAACAATGTCTTCGTTCTGGTTCCCTGATTATTACATTATATACACATTTAATCTTTACAATAAATAAAATGAATACAAGAAAGCTATCTATTCATATTAAGGCAAGGCGAAGAGTGGAGACGTAACCGCGTGATACTCGGGAAAAAGATGCAGAAACTGAAAGAGGTCGAAAAGTATATATCGTGGATGGCAGGGGTTGCCGATGATTTGTTGAAGCGCATTTCATTTATTTCGGATAAAAGCCACATAGCTAATGGTATCGAATTGGAGATCTGCAAATGGTCTTTAGAATGTAACAAATTATTTTTTTTTAAGAAAAGGGTCCTAAGATGAACGCAGTTATCACGTGACTTGTCCTATTTTCTTAAAATTAATTACTGTGTCGCGTATGTGCGCATCACAAATTAATTTAAAAATTCCATAAACTGATTTTATGAGCTAAATATTTTTTTTTTGCAGGTAATAGGTCTAGATTACTCTTTATCGCCAATAATTATCATTTTTTACTCCCTGCAATCTAAGATATTCCTATAACATCTAACCCTTGTATAAAGGGGGTAAACAAATAACCCCCCCCCCCGATGTAAACACTCATTCTAAATGCTATATTTTTTACTCCCCACCATCTATGACACCCCATAGAACTTACCCTATATACATAGAAACCAATGACTCCTAAACGTTTATTAAGGCGTTTTTTAAATTTGAAAAACTTTCTGCAGAAAATGTATAAATTTTAAATAATTTAGCGAGATATTACATATAGAAAGGCGATATTCAAAATTAACTGATTAAGCAAGTTAACTATAATAAATATATATATATTAAATTATTTTTGACTATATAATTTCTGTACAAACCTACAGCTGTGTGTACCTTTCTATACGACGATAGGATTGGGTGCCTAGATACACCACCTAACTCTCAAGCCAAGTCCTTCGTCGAAAGTGTGGTGGGATATTTTGGAAGTATGCACCCCCTGATATTCGGAGCACCTTTCTACAAATACTTTTCCACACCCCTGTGGAAAAGACATATAGCTCACGCTGACAATATGATAGCTATGGGGAAGCATTTTGTTAATAAAGTATATGAATTAAATATTTGTTTAAAAGCCAATCATTTATAATGTGTAACCAAAGAATAATTTGTATTAGTTTCATTTCATTTAAAGTTTCTACTGGAAAAATTCCAAAGCTTATCCAACAGCTCATCCCTTTTAGCTTATTTGATAAACTATCCTGGATTACATAAAAGCGAGATCAACTTAACCATTGTAGATATGATGATGGGATCCATAGAAACGGTAATTTTTTTTATCTATCCTTCGAAAATATTTTACAAATATTTCTTGACAAAAGACGACGAACACAATGCTCTGGCTGCTCTACGTTTTAGCTAAACATCCAAGTCAGCAAAATAAGCTTTACGAAGAAATCCTTAGAGTCTACCCCAAAGATGATGTATTTACGTCGGATACTTTGTCCAATTTCGTTTATCTCAAGGCTTGTCTAAAGGAAACATTAAGGTTTTTTCTATCCGCTTCTAAAAAACCAGAGACCTGCATATAGGATCAAAGTTTGTCCAAAAGCGGCAAGCCCAGACTGGACCTAAAACCTTTTCCCACAATATGCAGATTTAAAAATCTTTTACTTAAAATACGAAATATAAATAATCCAGGTATATAACAAAAAGAAAATGAATTGAAGGGTATAGGAATGTGATCACTACATATTGTTAGAATTAAGATAGATTTTATATCTGAAAATATACGATTTAGTGAGAAATTGATAATATAAATGTATTTATTTAAATATCAATATACCAGTATCTTAGAACACCGATAAACACTTTGGTAGTTTGTAGATATCTGCAATTTTTGAAATTGAAAATTTTGAATTAATTTTTTTTTGTAGATTCTTACAATAGACAAAGTCTATAAGATAATAAGTAAAGTGATTTTACATTATACAACGGTTAGAAAATAATATTTTCTTTTTGTATCCTAGCCAAGCCTAAAATTTTCGTCCTCTGCAGTTCTCTGGAAAAAATATCTCTTATTAAAAAATATAATAAATATTATTGATAATTATCAGAGTTGATAAAGGTATCACAAGATATAAAAATGTGGTATCTATATCTGTATCTAGATAGATTTTTGATTAAAATATCGGTATCTAGATATTATTTTAGACGATGTAGATCCATTTAAAAAGTATCTTTTAACAATTCTGATAATTATAATTTATATTAATAACTCGATTTTAGATTATATCCTATAACCTATGCGACTAGTAGAGTGATGATAAAAGACGTAGAATTAGGTGGATATCACATACCAGAAAAGGTTAAACGCTTTACAAAATTTATGTTAATATAACCTTTTTTTGTAAAAAAAATCACATGTATAAAGGTTATATGAAGCTGTCGTAGATTAAAACTTTAATCATGGATAAATTGTTTGGTAAATTCTGATTTATTGATTCCTAGAAATTGATAATGATTGACCAAAAATTTGCCTGCTTGTCTAGGTTTCCTTATAACGAAGCATTTGTCTTAAGCATAATAAACATGGAATATAATTTTTACAATATAAATAGATATTTTTATTTTTAAAAAAAAATTGAAAGACACACGTTCAAGGTTGCTTATGGGCCATGGGGAGAGATGAAACGATATTTACTAACACACTCAAGTTTAACCCTGAAAGGTGGATTAAAACGAAATCATCGCCTAAAGAGAATGAAATGTCAATCGATAAAGACTCGACAACAAACTCGGATATGGCACCGTTTGTTGCTAATCTGGTTTGGGGTCACGGAGCAAGACAATGTCCCGGTAGACGGTTAGCGGAGCAGGAGATTTATATTACATTAGCTAAGGTTTACAAATTTACCACATATATATATAATAAAATCTTTAAAAATTGATTAAATATTTGATATAAGTATTAAAGTTAAAAATTATAAAAATTTACTCTATATTTTGTCAATCGATAATTTGATGACGAATTTATGTAATATATAAATAATAATATAATAATAATAAATACCCCTTAAAAATAACCTATTCAATTAAGATTATAAAGAAATTCGAGTTGAAATACGGCCAAGATGAGGTTAAACCAATCATGAAGCCCATTATAGGACCTGATAGACCATTGAAAATAATATTTGTTCCTCGTTAAATGTTTTTTTTTATATGCTATATATACATTTTTATATATAAGCTGAACAATTGTATATCTAGTCTTGTTAAAGGGCTCGATTGGAGCCCAGGCCTGAAGATTTTGCTAATAGAAGGAACAAAGGTCTAGACATATATTATCAAAATCTCGAGATTTATACACTATTTTTCTGGATAAAAGTTAGCCGTATTTAAAAATCGCCTTAAAACACTATGTATTTCTAAAATTTTTGGCTATATTTAATTTTACAGTTAGTGGCGCATCAAAATTTTTCTTCATATACTTTCTTATGTTCGTATACCAGTTAAATTTGAGAATTTGAAACATGCGAATCATTTATTATAGCCCTTTAAAATGTTAATCTTTTTTTTCTCGCTAGAGTTATTTCAAATTGATATGTCCAAATACTATTATTTTGCCTTTTATTTTTAAGTTAATGACATGATCAATCTCTCGCAATAACGGCGTAAAATGGAAAAAAAATGTATCTGTTAGCGTCAATGTGTTTTTTTTCTCGCCAATGTGTTATTTTTTTTCAACTTTTATATCATTTTATTTGAGCATGTGAGGAAATGTATTCTATCATGTTTTGTTGTTAAACGGTTAATTTTGAGCCTCGGCAAATCAATTACTTTATCATAAAAATATTAACTCAGCCTGAATATTTAGCTCATAAAAGAAACAAGGGTTCTAAGCATATATTATCGAAATCTTGAGGAATATAGGCAATATATTGTTGGCTAAAATATAGAGTTAGTTGTTTTTTAAGAATCGGCTCAAAACGAGCCGTTTGATAACACTAATCACGTTTGGAATACCTATATATCCTATAAGTATCAGACAATTTCTCCAGGAACTTCTGCACTAAAAAATGATCTAAAAGTAGGAAAAATAACAACATTGAAGCTAACATATATATAATTGTATTATGGAATACTTTTTTTTTTACAGCGCAATTATTTATTATATTTAAATCGTATTTTCAATTTTAAAACTAATTTGATTAAAATTTGTAAATCGCAAAAAAAAACTTAATTTTGTAAATATTATATATATTAAAAAAATAATGATTTATAAGCATTTTTTTAAAATTCATATATAAATATAATATAAAATGTCCCTTTTTTTGTATTTTCAAATCAACTTTTTTTTACAAATACATAACATAGCTTCCTATCAACATATAAATACATATAAATAATATTAATTTATAATTTTTTTCCCCATTTTTGTAACATATAGTTGGATGCAGAAAGTACTTCCCTTGACATCTCTCAAGATTTTCTGAGTTAGAAAGGGATTTTAATTTATTGATTAAAAATTATCAATTTTTTGGCGACCTTTAGAAGCATTATCAATTTTTATACTATTTTCATAATTCGTATAAATGTGCACAATCTATGATATTATCATAATTTCGAATTTAATTTTTTTATTATAGTAGTCTTAATAATTTTATATATACATATATACATTTTAAATTTATACGCTCATTCATATGAAAAAAATATAATTTTCCACTCAATTATTTTTATTTATATAATATAAAAAAAGCGTTTAAATAAAAGTATATCAAAAAACAGATACAGATTTGCTTAAAATAATATCTAGATATAGATACAGATACTTAAAATTTTTTTTTTATCTAGATGCAGATACTATATTTTTATATCTGGACACTTTGAAAACTCTGATAATTTTTATCATTTATTTTTTCTTCCCAGTTTCAATAATATTATACAATAAAATAATTTAAATAAAATGATTAATTCGCTTCACTAGCATTTTTTAATTTTATCAAATAAATTTCTCACATATTATGAGTATAAATATTTTTTTTTTCGCTAACCCTAGGAAAGTGGTCTTATGAAATAGTTTTCAGATTTTTCACTTAAATTGGTCATGTAAAACTGATATTTGGACACAAATGTAGGATTATTTTATTTGAAATAAAGTTTTTTCAAAAATGTCTGAGCCAAGATTCCTCATCTAACCATTCCCTTCCCTTCTTCCCCGAAAGAAAGAAGGAAGGAAGGAAGGAAGGAAGGAAGGAAGGAAGGAAGGAAGGAAGGAAGGAAGGAAGGAAGGAAGGAAGGAAGGAAGGAAGGAAGGAAGGAAGGAAGGAAGGAAGGAAGGAAGGAAGGAAGGAAGGAAGGAAGGAAGGAAGGAAGGAAGGAAGGAAGGAAGGAAGGAAGGAAGGAAGGAAGGAAGGAAGGAAGGAAGGAAGGAAGGAAGGAAGGAAGAAAACAAAACAAAGAAAGAAACAAAGATTCTTATTAAAAATTATATCTCCCAGATTAGTTTAGTTTATGTAAATTATTAGAAAAAATTAATAAAAATTTCACAACTCTTAAATTTCTATTTAAAAAATAATTTTTGAGGTTAAAATTTACCACATTGTCCTATTGACTAACGATTATGTTTTATAAATTCGTTTATAAAATATCGATCTCTAATACCATTAGAAAAGTATTTAAATGCAGAAAAAAATTGCTAAGATTAGTTTAAATAACAATTTTTTGTTAAGTCATCGAATCGCATGGTAATCTATAATATTTCTAACAGATCAGCTGGTCCGGCCCGAAACTAAACCCCGGATTTTATCTACCCAGACCGGACACAAAATTTCCTGGGCCGGGCTTAAAACCCCGAGTTAGAGACACTTGGCGGTATTCTTCGCGGATGAGAATTTTTTTTATCGGGATCGTGGAATCTAATGGAATCTAACGTGGGACATATGGCACGGCTAGTTTGTAACGACGTAAAAAGCAGATTTTTAAAAAATAAATTTTTTTGCAATTGAAAATTAAAGCTAAAAATTATTTTTTTATTTTTTTAAAAATAAAACCATTATATTAAAAAAATATAAAAAATAATATATTGTTATGACAAGTTAGTCCTATTTTTCATTATCAATATCCACAATTTTTTATTTTACCCTTACGGATATTTTTTTTTTTTTTTAAAAAAAAACATATAGATTACATTTTAGAAATTCGCTTCAATTAAGGTAATTACTACACCGTAACTTGTTTTATTTAATTTTTATATATATAATAATAAAAACAAAAATAATTAAAATAATATTACAAGTATATTATAGTGTCGTTAAAAATGGCCCTTGAAGTCGACTTTTAAAAACGGGTCCTAATTGAGATTTTAACCCAAAATATTGATTCTGTAAACCCTGGAGATTTGGCTCGTAAGTGGCTAGAAAGGTTTTGGAGGACCTCTATTTGTCAAATTCTAGGGGCTTATACAAAATTTTTGGGGCCGTTTATGGATCTAAATAGGGGTCGTTTAAACAACACTAATTGTATATTCTTCTTTGTATCAAAAACAAATATTTCATTTTTAACCTATCTCAAAAATAATTATTTTTTTTAGTTTTAACCTTTTACTATAAATTATAAATATATATATATTTTGACTAGACTATGTTAATCGGTTTAAAATCAAGTCTCGCCATCTTAAATGTAAACTTGTTTTTTTTTTGTAAAGCATAAATAAATACGTAAAATAATCTAATAAGGATATTTAAATTCTGACAAAAAAAAAAATTAAATTTAAAAGGATGAACTTGGTAAAATAAAAAATAATTTTTTTAAAAAATCTATTTTTTTTCATAATTTAAGGGATTTTTTTAGGTTGGTTAATGAGGTAAGGCATTTTGTGTTAGAATTCCTCATTTGTGTTAGATATTATTTTGATTAAAGAATAACTGGCTTTATACTGATCCAGAAAAATATTATGCAAGCCTAAAAAAATTTTCTCATAGAATGAGCAAAGGTCTAGACATATAGTATCGACATATCGAGACTTACTCGATATTTTTCTGGCGAAAATATTAATATGTGTAAAATGGCCATATTTTTTTTTTATTATAAATATAAAAATATTTAAAATATAAAATACTTGCAAAAGAAACCTATTATAGTAATTTAAACTAATTTAATTAGTTTTTAAATTTATCATCTTATATTTAATAATAATATTATAAATTAACTTTTTTTTTTCACCAAACAAAAAAAATAATGTTTAATCTGATTTTTCTAAAAAAGATATTACTATAAAAAAAAAGAGTTTATTTTAAAATATTTTAGGTATAGGGTGGTGGCCAGTCATTAACCATGGCTATTTACGTTTTTAGAAGTAATTAATTAGAATATTTTTTTTACTTCAAAAAATAGTTGCCTTAACTACACTTGTAAAAAAAAATATATTAGTTTTTGCATGTTGAATAAGTAAGCATTGAATTTTTGCATATTGAAAAATAAAATTTTGTATAAGCACAATTTTTTCTCGTAAGTCGAATTTTTTTTTGGTCAATATACTTTAGAAAGCTTACTACTACCACACAGGGCTTTTTATATGCCTAAGTCCTGTCCATTTGATGTAAGGCATAAATTAATGATAAAAATTTGATAGACAAAGAACAAAAATATTTTGATTATTTTGATTAGTTAGCCTGTTTAATTAATAACGTAAATATTAATTTTATAGGTAAGAAGATTATGCTAATTGTTTAGGGGGAAAAATAAATATTATATTTTAATATTTTGTTTTTTGATAAAGGAATAATCTGATCTTTCACACTGATTATAATCATTTGGTAAAAAAAAAAAAAAAAAAAAAAAAACTTTATTGTTTTTTAAGAGTCAATGATTGTATTAATTATTTATTAATGGTATTCCATGATGACTTTTCATTAAAATATTATTACTATACATATATAAAATTATTATCTATTTTTTTTATAAGGGATAATTTTATATTTTTTTTTATTAAAAAGAAATAAATTATTATTATCACAGATTTTTACTAAAAAATAAACATCATTTAAATTTACATTTATATTTAGCGAATTTCCATAATTTTTTTTTATAATGAAAATCAAACAAAAAAAACTTACCATTTAAATAGGTATAGTTCGGATGGAAATAAAATATATATATGTAAAATAAATTCAAAAAATTCCTAAAAATTTGGTCTAAAATAAAAGGGAGTTTTCTAACTTTTTTTCCCGGAGAATTATGAAGGTAAAAAAAAATATAAATAATTTTTCATGTCCATTAAAAAGGAGTTCTAGATCTAGTGTTGCTAAACGGTTCGTTTTAAGCCGACTTTTTAAAAAGGGATAACTTCAATATTTCATCCAGAAAAATACAGAGCAAGCCTGAAGATTTTGTTCCTAGAAGGAACGAAGGTCCTAAACATTTATTAACAAAATCTTTCTGGCTAAGCCGTTTAACAACACTATAGATCTAAATTTTGTTAATTTACAAGATAGGCTGTAATTGTTAAAAAGACTAATTTGGGGGGGGGGGGAATTTTTTTTAAAAAAGGGGTCCAATTAAGATTTTTAAGTTTAAATACATAATTATTGTAAAAAACCTCAAGATCTAACGAATAGAGGTTCCTACCTTTTATGCCCATATATGAGCGAAATGTTCCAAGATTACGCATTATTATTTAGGCTAAAATCTTAATTAGAGCCCTTTTTAAAAAGCGGTGCTTCATATACTAGGGCCTAGTTTTGATATAATTGGAATAATAATAACATTTTTTTCCTTTTTTTTTTAAAAAAAAAATAACATGTCGTGTGGTGATTCTGAATCTATTGATTTTAAATTCTTTACCGAGGGTTAATTAAAAAAAATTTATAATCCGATTCAATCAGAAATGCATTCTATCATGTGTAGGTAGAGAGTATTTGCCCTATAAATATCAGTCAAATTCAGCCATAGACATTTTTTAGTTTTTTTTTTTTATAATTTATTATGAAAAATCCATATAAAAATTGATATAAATTTAGAAGTATAGTTCTTAAGTTCATGGCAAAAATTGTTTTAAAAATTACAGTTTGGGTACGACTCTGTACATGCTGAAATATAATTCCTTTTAGAATCAGATTTTTAAAAATCCAAAAATCGCCCTTAGTAAAGGATTTGTAAATTGAGAGATTCCGAATCTTCATTACGACGTATATAATATACATTAGGAATCATATTATTTTAAGAGCTAGGGTTAGGGTAGGGGATGTTAAACTGGGGTCATTTGATCAATATTTTTTACGGTTTGCTATATAGAAACTTATAGGACTTGCCTTAGGTTAAAACTGCTATGATAGCCGCATCACCCAGCTATAAAATATTGTAAAACTCCCCAGAGCTCAATCTCTTAGAGTTTAGGAGGCAATTCTCAAATAAGTAAGGAGTGGCCAAATCTCCAACAAAGTCTATTTCGTGTTTTCAGATAAAGTTTTGAAAATTTTCAGAATTAAATTTTTTTTTTTAGTTTATAATATACAGCCTTTTACAATAAACAATTTTTAGAAATTGGAAATCTAGATGAATATATACATAAAACATGTATATAAAAATATAAATATTTAAAAAACTAATCAAAAAAAAGTAACTAATAAGTAACTTTTTGGCGTTACATTTCTAAAAAAACAATTTAACTAGTTTTTAGTTCTAATTAAATGATTGCAAATTAAAAGGGAATAATACTGGATGGATAGCTTAAAAATAGTATATTTAAAAATTGATGAAAAAAAACATATGGCAAAAGCATTTTTTATTAAAACCCTAAATATTTTCTTCAATCGTTTTTTTTATATGTTTTGCAAACAAAACATAATTATTTTTATAATCGTTTATATTTTTAGAAAGAGGGATGTAAATATTTTGAATTATATAGATGAGTTTTAATTGGATTCTATCAAATTCCAAATAAATTTGGTATTTTAGGTAAACCTTCATTTCAAAAATTATGTAATTTTTTCCAACTCTATATAAACTAACTGGTATTTTAGAATAGTGTGCTAAATCGTTAAATGTTAGGCAGGCTAATGCGAACGGGGGCTCTGGTTGGCAGAAAAAAGACTTTAAGAGCCAGTAATTTTGTTTAGTAGATCACAAATTTCACTCTTTTCACTATCCATAATTTACTTAAACATAGTTTTTAAAAAATAAACCAAATTTATCATTTATTTATAAAAATAACTTCGAATATTATGATTAATCTACTTTTGTGTTTAAGATATAAAAAAAACGTTCATCTAATAGAGTCTTCATGTAATATACATAGACTTTTTGAGTGGGTTTACTTCAAATTTACCTTCTTCTAAATTGTTGATTATCCTAATTAAGATTTCTATAATATTATTAGATATTTAATTATATATATTTTATATATATAACACTAGTATTAGGGTATATCTACCACCCTTTAGGGTTAGCAAAGACAGCTGTTATAGTGAACTCCATATCAAATCAACAAAAAAGAAGTCGATTTAGTTTTAAATAAACCACATTATCACTTCCCCCACCAGGGTCATAACCAGGGTTGCCAGGTCAAAATTTTCAAATTGTGGGAGAAATTCGGTATTTTGTGGGAATAATATAAAAATTGTGGGAGAAATATGAAAATTGCTAAAAAAAATTATTTGCAGGCCTTCGGCCCGCAAAGGCCCGGCCTGCGGTCGGGATTTAGAATTGACTTAGTTATCCGCTTATTATTTTTTATAAATATAAAATAGGTAATTATTTTTCAAAATAAAATAGCCAACTATTTTTTAAAATAAAATAGCCAACTATTTTTCAAAATAAAATAGCCAACTATTTTTCAAAATAAAATATCCAACTCTTTTTCAAAATAAAATAGGTAACTATTTTAATAAAATACGCAACTATTTTTCAAAATAGGTAATTATAATACGACACAAAATTTCTTAAATACTATCTTTATTATTAAAATAACATATTGATTTATTATAATATATTAATTTTGTTTAAAAATAATAACCAACGATCTTTTTTAAATACAAAAGAATGTAAACAAGATAAAATTTTATAAAAAAATTGTAATTTTACAATGTAAAAAAATATATTTTATGCTAATGTATAAATAAGATTTTATAAAAAAACAAACAATTTTAAATTTACAATGTAAAAAATAATTATAATCAGTGCGGGGAAGTTGTTCTACAGTATTTAGTTAATACAATGGGGGAAGGGGATATGATATTTTGAGGCATCAAAAATCTTCAAAGCATAAATCAGTACAGGGCTGTCTATCAACATCTATTGCAAAATTAAAATATTCTTCAAAAATAAGAAATAATACAGATGCAACTACAGTTGCGGAAATGGTAAATACCTATCATGCAGTACAACATTCAGAGAGAAACATCACAATGTTGGTAGAATCTTTCCCCATAATATTTAACGACTAATATAAATGAAAAGTATACTTTGTAGAACACAAATGAGCAAGGCTATCATCAATGTTTTAGGATATAAATCCAGAAGGTCAATTCTTAACGATTTGAAAGATGTGCAAACATATGCAATTCTAACAGATGCATCTAATAAGGAGATATCAAAACATTTCCCTTGATCCTCCCCTATTTCAACAAAATTAATGTCATTTCAATAAAACTATTAAAAAAAATTTCTCCAGATATGAAATATCCAAAGACATAGCTAACCATATATAATTGTAAATATGGCAGATTTAACATTACCAATGAATTGCATGGTAGCTTTCTGATCTGATAATTCCTCAGTGAATTTGGCAAAAACCACAGTGTATTTACAGAATTGAGTCAGCATAATGTTGGTTGATAGGTTCCTCCTAATACGCGCCATCGTATAATTTTAAAATTTTACAAACCTTTAAAAAATAAATAGATTATAAAAGCTGTCCTAATATTTTGAAAAAAATTTTCAAAAATAAATGGCAGAAGTATATTTAGGAATTTTACATATAGGAAATCTACTATATGCTGTTAATATGGAGTTGCAATCAGAAGAATATAATTTAATAAAGGTTCACTAAATTATGCTGCAGAAATACCAAAGTAAGAATATTATTACTATTATCGGATAATTATTAATAAGATTTAATATGATGTCATGTTTGAGGAGATTTGCTTCTTTATTTTTATGATTTGCCAATATATTCAAAATATTAATTTTACAATGTAAAAAATAAATTTATTTGATTTTATGCAAATGTATAAATAAGATTTTATAAAATATAGAAAGTCAAATAGTTATAGTTAATTATATTTTATTTAAGATTTAAATAATGGAACTAAACGTTTACCGTCGTTATTAAGATATTTATAAAATTCCTGGCATGACATTTTATAATTTTGTTTAACCATTAACTCGGCCTCTAATGTTGTTAAAGCTATTATTTCTCTCCTTTCTCCAGGCAGTCCTCATCAGGCTAAAAATGCGCTCCGATGAGGCATTAGAATGAGGTAAGGAGAAAACATACTCGCAAATTTTTTCCAAGCATGAGGATTTATCGTTATTACGAAAAAATTCCACCCATTTCTCCTCTGCTTTTAGACCATCTAACTTTAAGTATTCTGGCTAATCATAAAAAATGGAAAAAATTACAATCTCTTCAAACAAGGCTTCAATGTCTATCGGTAATTTTAATATATTTATTAAATTACAAAAACCATCAAATGATGGTTTCTGTTCCAAGGTCATAATATTTATACACTTGTAAATAGAGTTATTAAAATCAAATCTTGATTGTAAATATTCCAAAATTGTCTTAATAAAAATATTTGCTTCATTTAAAAATACGTTAATTATAGTAATATTTGAACATTTTAATATGATATTTTTAGCAATAGCGCCATAAAATTTATTATCTATTTTTAACTGTAGAGATGAACAGAGCTAGCATGATTTTGTGAATCTTTATCAATAAAGAATCTTCTGATTGCAACTGAATATTAACTACATGAAGTAGATTTCCTACATGTGAAACTAATCCCAAATATGCTTCTGACATTTCATGAAAAAATTTTTCAAAATTTTAGGACAGCTTTTAAAATCTTTATTTAAGAAGTATTTCTTTAAGGGTTCGTAAAATTTTAAAATTCTCTTGATGGCAGGTATTAATGATAACCACCTGATAGGTACATATCGCAACAACTCACACCATTCCAAATCAGACCACTCCACTAATTCTTTTAATTCAGTGACTCTTTTAGTTGATGAACTAAATTCGTTAAAACATTTCATCACAATTACTTCGACATCTACCGATAGTACATTCATTGCCTTCTTGCAAGAATTATGCAGTATATGGTATATACAGCCAATTGGTATTAATTCATTATTGTGCTGCCTCAATTCGGTAAATACACTTTGATTTGATTAGAATAATATCCACTTCTAAAAGTTCTATTCTTCTAACACAAAAATTTTGAAAATGTCGAGTGGAGTACTGCAATTCTAGATAACGATATAAAATATATTAAGTAATTTAAAATATATATATAATAATTATACATACTGTTCTAACTTCTATTCTTTCTAACACAAAAATTTTTAAAATGTCGAGTGGAGAATTGGAGAATTTTATAAAAAATATATTTTAGAGCGGAAAAATAAAATAAAAGAACTAGACATATTTTTCGAATAAATATTTAAAATTTATTTTAAAAATATAAAAATAATCAAATACTGTCTCTCAAAATTATTATTTATATATTAAAAACATCAAAATGCTAAAAAAAAAATTGTGGGAGAAATTAAAAAATTGTGGGAGCTTTTTGTGGGAGATTTCTAATTGTGGGAGTTTTGTGGGAGTGAGATGTATGTGGGTAAACTAAAAAATTGTGGGAGACTCCCACTGATGGGGGGAGACATGGCAACCCTGGTAGCATTTAAAATAAAAGGGTCTGGAACTGGTATATTATATAATATATATAAAATTAAATACTTAATAGTCGAATCCAAATCTTAATTAAAATATAACTCAATCAAGATTAAAGAAATTAAAAATAGATCAAGCTTACAATGGAATCGATAAGAATACTCCGATGGGATATTCTCGATATACTCCGGTGTGAGATCAAGATGGCCTCGATAGTGATAATCCGGTGGGAGATCCATCAAAATTGCTACTCCAGTGGGAGAATGAAAATGAAAATTTTTATGTCTAATTGATTTGAAGATATGATCTTGCCAATATTCGTCTATTTACTAATAGTGAAATGTATATTGCCCTGAAAATCATCGAATTAAAAATGTAATTGAAAATGTAAGGAGATTGAATAGACAAAATTCATTAGGAACCTTAGTTATATAAATTATTAAAATTTATCATTCTCAACTGGTCGTTTACAATTTAACATTTTCGGGACTTCATAATAAAACTATATTTTATTCAAATAGCACCATTCTGAAAATTTATTTCAATATTAATACAGCTATAACCCTTATCTTAATTACATGTTTTTTTGGTGAAATCAAGCAGATGAGATTAAAATTGCTAAATTTAGCGTTATAATTATGAATAAAACCAAGTAGAGTTGATACACTTTTCAACCTTGTCAGACTCACATTTAAAAGAATTTTTAAGATTAGCAAATTGTATCCTAAAATATGCAAAAAACAGTAAATTTTGCTTTTGCACAAAAATAAGTATTTTTAACTAAAATTTATCCGAAAATTCTGTTAGAGAACTTGATTCTCTGTTGTAAACTTCTTTACGCAACCACTGGCATAGCCTTAGCTAACATCACGCCTTCACCCCTATATATTTATATACAATTGAATTCCTTTTATTTTAAATGAATATAAGTTTATATATAGGACATTGACAACCTGCCTATATGGTAGCATAGGAATTAGCTATAAAAAGTTAAAATTCGTGAAAATTGAATATTTTAAAAAATATATATTTATTTTTTTTGTGAACCTAGACTTTCCATAGGTAACATATACTTTAATTTACACGTTTATATAAATAACATATAATTTAATTTACACGTTTATATAAATAACATATAATTTAATTTTTTTATTTTGAACCGTATTAAAATGATGATAAGGAAATAATTAATCACGGAACTCATCTGTGTAAGAAAAAAAATATACTATGATAATTGATTAAAGGGAAATGTTCATAAGCATTTAAGGCTAGTGTTGTTAAACAGAACTCAATATTTCATCCAGTAAAATATTAAGCAGGCCTGAAGAATTTTTGCTCATAGAACAGCGGTCTAGTCATATATTAGCGGAAACCTCCAGGACTTAGGCTATATTTATCTGGCTAATTTATTGAGTTATTATAGTGAGCACAAATTGAAAGCTTCAACATCCGGTTCAAATTGGACAACATTTCCGTTTTGAATTTTTTATTTATTTGCGTTTTTTTTTAAACGTTTTTTAAATTTTGAAGTGATAGCATGATTATAATAATTATATTAAATGTTACTAGTGTAACACTAACTTAAGGGCTAACAAGCCTAAGTTCGCAATTAAAATTATGCGATTTTATTAGAAAAATAATTAATGTAAAAAGTAATTTGCAAGTGTCCAAAACAAAAAAAAAATAATCGCCCTAATTTATTCGGCGAAAGAAAACCATTTCGACCCGAAAAGGAAGTGAGAATTGTGTGCGATTTTGATTGGTCGTCAAGGGCATAGCCACAACCTTGATCATGGTATATATTTTTTGTTTTGTTTTTTAAGGCACGCATTTCCCCGATTTTGAGGCAAATTTTCACTAGGAATGGCAATTCGTCGATCGCCCCTAACGAATGCCCATACAAAATGTCAGGATTGGTCAAACAGAATCCTACCCCGAAAGGCGAAACTTTTTCGCCGGAAGTACCCGCCGATACCTTTAATTCTCTGAAACAGGATCCCCAGCCAAATATCATTCCTGTCGAGAAAGTGTCTATGGGCAACGCGATTGGAATCAGCCCTAAAATGATACCGGAAGAGTTCAAACCAAAATCATCAAACGATGACCGTATGAAGATTTCTTCCCCAAAATCGTTTCACGAAATGCCTGGACCTAGAGGTTTGCCAATCATTGGAACTTTACTAAATTACACTTCCAAAAATTCCCCTTACAGCTTAAATCACATGTTTTTGGTAAATCTTTAAATTTTATTTAAATATTTATTCTTCCTTTTTTTTTTTACCCCCGTATATTTAAAATTTGTCTCTCTACATTTACATTCCATTGAGGAAGATCGAAAGAATAATAAATTAATGAACAAAGCTTCAAGAATAAGAAAAAGGAACATGGGATGGGAGTCAAAAAAAATTATTGGAATCAAATGCTAGTGTTGTTAAACAGAGCCGCCAGGGTCCGACATAGTTCAAGTCCGGGTCGGGTTCGACACAGATTTATATTTTTTTTTAAATGGCTAACTCAATATTTTAGCCAAAAAAATTATTTGTCTAAGCCCCAAGATTACAGTAATATATGTCCAAACGTTTGTGCCCTCTATGTGTGAACAAAGTCTTCAGGCCTAGCGTAATATTTTTCTAGATAAAACATCGAGTTAGCCGTTTTTGCTAACCGGCTCAAAATCGAGCCGGTTAGCAAACCGGGGTGATACAATTTAAATTTGAACGGATAATGCGTTACCTATGTAGTGTTTGTTAAAATGGCTTTGATTTTTTAACGCCGCTAAAACCCAATATTTTGGGTCAATTATGGGAGTGAAGGGGGATTTTATCCCCTAGATTTTCGGAAAAGGGGTTAGGAACATCTATTGACGAAATTAATCTTGTGCTTGCTTGATATTATTTTTTGGCTAAAAATCTTAAATTTCAAAATCAGCTATTATCTAATTCTTAATAGCAACGAATACTGACCGATATACTAATATGGCTTTTAAACTTTTTTATTTATGATTAAACGTTCTCTAAATGGGATTTAATCGAAGTCTCAAGTAGATAGATCCATAGAGTACGGTCCGATTTACAAGGAAAAAATAGGGCCCAACTCCTCAGTCTACATCACCGACGCTAGGTTATACGAGAAGGTTATCAGGGTAGAAGGGCCAACACCGCACCGGAAGCAGCTGGATCCTATGCTATACTACAGGAAGCAACGGAAACTCGCTATAGGCATGACGAACGCGTAAATAAATAAATAAATAAAATGACCATTTTATATTTTCTACGAAACGATTTTCTAATATGAAAAGGATATCTTGGTCTCTCAAAAAAAACAGAAACAAAAATACAGAAATCTGTTTGATTTTTCAGGGAATATTTTTTTTAAAATAAATTACTAAGGGTTCGTGTAGTTTTAGCATTCTAAGTTAGACTTCCTCTTAGAAGTAATAGGCTCTCTAGATTTACCTTAATAATATTTACTTATTTAATGTATAAACTCTTAAAAACAAAACCATAATTTTGGATGTCCTAATTCAAAATCTTGTTGTTTAAAACCAAGGCTTAAACAGGAATAAGTTTCAAAGATGAGACAAACTAGGAGATCGGCCTAATCACTTTTTTATGATTGTTCTCATTAGTCAGGGTGAAGAATGGAAAAGCAACCGTTTGATCCTCGGGAAAAAGATGCAGAAACCGAAAGAGGTAGAAAATTATATACCTTGGATGTCCGGCGTTGCCGATGATTTATTGAAGCGTATCGCCATTATTTCCGATAAAAGCCACATAGCTCACGGTATCGAGTTAGAGATATGCAAATGGTCCCTAGAATGTAAATTCGGCTATTAGTTTATATATTATAAATGAATTAATTATTACAAAATTAAACTTTAATTCGTTCAATGTTTTTCAATATTTGAGTTTGCGTTATGTTATAAGGTAAATTGGTAATAATCCAATACAATAAGTACATCCAGTATTTTTGCTAAGTGGTGGGGATAGGGGGGCTACTATAAGATGTGGTTTTTCTTTCCCAAAGATTTTATTGTAGGTTCTTTGGGTCCCATCTATTATAATGGGCTATTTTCAATTAACAAATTTTTTTTTTTGAACCAATCATTATCCCTCACCTTAGACATATGTCTTTAAAAAATAAATATAAGCGGCAAAATAAGAGGCTTACATATAACCCCAAAGAATTATACAAATTTACCATTTTAAAATATAATTATTCATGTTTCTGTTGGGGGGAAAAACTTGTAGTCTCACCTACGTTTTTCTAGAATGAGTCTAGTGTATGCTAAACGCTCGATATTTTAGCCTGAAAAATGTGGCCTAAGCTCCGAGATTTCGATAATTTCTAACGAATCAAACCGAATACTGTTTTTATTTTATCGCACGAATACAAAATTATTCGATTTATTCAAATAGGACCCTTGTTCCTTCTAATGAACAAAATCCCGGACTAGGGCCTAATTTTATTTAAAATAATCGGAATCGGCGGTGGAAATTTTTTTAAATGTATCTAAATTTATCAATTTTATATTTAATTTTTTATGTTAAATAAAAAATATTTGATTTTATTTATTGAAACGAAACGACATATTAAATATGTCTTTTATTTTGAGTAATTATAAAAATTAATTACTATATTTAAATAATTTCTGGTTCGGGCCCGGCCGGGCTAAGAGTTTATGCAATAAGCAAAATCAAAATTAACCCAAATATAAAAAAAAATCTTAAATAGCTTAAGCTGGTACATGATTGGGTAAAAAAAAAATTTTGAGATTAATTTCTGGCCAGGTCGGTAAATTTTATTTAAAAAAATGTCGGATTTGGGCTAGGCCGGCAAAACTTTTTTTAAAAATTTCGGGCCGGGCCGGGCTTGAAAAATTAGGCCCGTAGCAGATCACTATTTTGAGTATCATTTTATATATTAGTAGGAATTATTATATAATTGATAATATAATAATAAATAAATTATAATGATATTTCAGAAAAACAGTAAAATTGTAGTGTTAGTTATTAACCTTTACTAAATTTTCTTTTAAAATTATCCTTCTCATAGCGATATATTGTATACATTCTTGGGGGGGGGGGGGGATGGAGGGTTGAGAGGAGTATGTAGGATGTAGGATGTAGGGAGGGGGGATTTTTTTTTATTAGCTTAAAATGATATTTACGAACAAATTTTCGGTGGGGTGGGGGGGAAAATTCCATCATCCCCTTGGATATGCGGCAGGTATAATCATCGATCCCTTCTTATATGCATTTTATGTTATGTCCTGCTGAAATGCATTTCCGGTTAAATCGGACCTTTTTTATTTTGTTTTTTAAAGTTTTTACAAATAAATGAACTTTGTTTTAAATTTGGTTTAAAATTGATCGTTTAGTGAGAGGTGCGTTTTAAACAGCTGATGTTGGCAAAATTTCAGTATTTATAGAATCAAGGCTGGGCAGTAGGTGGTATTCGTAAATTAATTCCACTTTAAACAAAAATAAACGATTGTTGATTATAATATATTAAATTTTTTTCTAGCATCCAATTACTAAATTTTGTAGTGTACAATTGCATTCATATTTCCAGTGTTTATTTAGAATGAAAACAAAATAAAGAAACCATTATAGTGTTTCCAGCTCAGGATATTTACGAAAAAAAAAATTCTGAAATTCCTAATCGCCATTTATTTTTATTTTTCTTAAGTTGTTCTTGTTAGTTCTCTTAGTGTTGATTAACGACTCGATTTAAGCCGATTTTTTAAAAACGGCTGACTCCAAATTTTAGCCGGAAAAATATCGCCCATGGCTTGAGATTTAGCTAACAGATGTCCAAACCCTTTGTGCCATATATGAGAGCAAAATATTCAGGGCTCGCGTAATATTTTTCTGAATAGTATATTGGGTTAGCCATTTTTAAAAATTCGGTTCAAAACGAGCCCCGGTTAACAACACGGATACTAATATATATTTTTTTTTATATTTAAATTGACGATGTTAAAATAATTTTTCAAAATTATAAATATTTTATGTGTATTGATTGTAAAACAGATTAATAAAGAATAAAAGCCATAAAATCTTACATTCCTTATATCGATAGGCATTTTTTCCTGATATATATATGTATATATATAATATATTTTCTATAAATTTTATTTCCTAGCACTTTGCACTTTCATATACGAAGATAGAATCGGGTGTCTAGACACTCCTCCTAACCCTCAAGCCAAGCTATTCGTCGAAAGTGTCGTAGGTTATTTTAGGAGCATGCATCCCCTGATATTCGGAGCTCCTTTCTACAAATACTTTTCTACGCCCCATTGGAAAAAGCATATAGCCCATGCGGACAATATGGTAGCCATGGGGAAATATTTCGTGAATAAGGTATAAATATATTTAAAAATATATAATTTTAGATATTTTTTTCGTAAAGCATTTTATGCCAATTCTGAAATTATATATATATATATATATATACTTTTATTTTAAAAAGTTTAAGAAAAAGTTTGAGAGCGCATCCAATTCCTCGCTTCTCGCCTATTTGATAAATCATCCCACCTTGGAAAAGAACGAGATTAACTTAACCATTATAGATATGATGATGGGATCCATAGAAACGGTAAATGTATCTATATATATATTTATGTTAGCGCGTCTATATGTCACTTATAAAATGATATTTTTTTAAGCGCGTTTTTAAAAAAAAATTTAAAAAAATCTGATTTTACCCGGGAAATGTGTGCCGTCATGTTTGGAATACCTGCCCTACGAATTTCGTACAATTTTTATCCAAGAACTTTTAAACTTAATATTATTTATATTTATAAATTTTTCATATAGTATCATGTTTTATATAAAATTATGAATGACCCGAAAGTTACCAGCAAAATTTTTCTACATTTCTTAAGATAAGGGGTATTCCGAACATGATAGAATATATATTCCTGAATAGAATCAGATTTAAATGATTTAAAGTTGTAAAAATAACGCAATGCCGGAAAGAAAACACATTGACCCCCCCCCCCAACCTATCTCATTAGAGGCGCCTCTGCCCCCATCACCCCCTTTAAGAAAATATGAATGCAAACTGTTCCCCCCCCCGATACTTCTTCTAGAGGTAACAAGTAAACGGTAACGCGTCTCTTTTTTTTTGGAGTAACTGTAAAACAAAACGTTACTCATCTTTGAATAAATATTTATAATAATATTATTTTATTTTTTTTTATAAAGACGACAAATACGATGCTCTGGTTGCTGTACGCCTTATCCAAAAATCCTAAGCAGCAAAATATACTTTACGAAGAGATCCTAAGAGTTTGTCCCGAACTATGATACAATCAAACCAGAGTATTTGGCTAGTCTCGTATATCTCAAGGCTTGTTTGAAGGAAACTTTTAGGTTTTTTTTTACAAACTTTATAAAATAAAATAAATGTTAAAAATAAATATAAAATAAAATGTAAAATAAAAATTAAAATAGATTATATCCCATAGCTTATGCTACTAGTCGATTGATGGTTAAAGACGTCGAATTGGGTGGATATCATATACCGAAAAAAGTTGAGTGACGTAAAAATTCTTGTCGATGATATTTTTGATACTATTATACATGGGCCCAAAATTTTTCTTTCGTTAAAGTTTACAAGGAGGTGGAAGGGACTTCTCTCCGAGACCTCACCCTCAAGGACTTTGCTTATGTTTTCCATTCTTTCTCTCAATTTGCAATTATTTTTTTTCACTCGAAAATATCCTACACCCTTGTCTGATATATATATCTTTCTGTATTTGACTTTGTGGTAGACTTCATCGACCCTTGTTAGAACCCATACAATCTTTCCGAACTTCTTCAACGAATACGCCTTTCATACGCGTTCTACAAACAAATTTTACTTTGCCCTTTGTAGTTATCCCTTTTTGCAATTCCCTTTTTAACCCTCCAACAAAAGTAGCATTAGACTGATTTTTCTTACAGCACATTTGCCTAATACGCCTCATGGGTAAAATTCTCTTCGTATATGTAAAAAAAAAAATTTTCATAATAATACTCAGACACACGACACGTAATATAATGACATTCAAAAAGCGAGCGATACTAGGGGATCTTAACGCATCCAGCTACCAGATTTAAATATGCTACGACTTTTAATTAGGATATGCCCCCAGTGTTACTTTCATCGGATAGGGGTCTAATTTCTCTTAAATTCATGGTTATCTCCTACCTGTTTACTATCAAACACATAATGTTTTCCTTGTATTATATCTTATTTTATTTATTTTTGAAAGACCCACGTTCAAGGTTGTTTATGGGCGATGGGAAGAGATGAAAAGATATTTACTAATGCTCAAGAATTTAATCCCGAAAGATGGATCAAGACAAAAACGTTGGCTAAAGATTGTGGCAAATCTGTTAATAAAAATGTCCCGCTCAATTCCGATATGGCGCCATTTGTAGCTAATTTAGCTTGGGGGCACGGAGCTAGACAATGCCCCGGGAGAAGATTAGCCGAGCAGGAGATTTTTATTACTTTAGCGAAGGTTTTTTGCCTTTATATTTCAAATTAAATAATCTTATTATTGTATATTATGCTCTACGATTAGTAGTGTACGTTAAGCGGCTCTTTTTGAGCCGATTTTTTTAAAAAACAGCTGACTCAACATTATAGCCTAGAAAATGTTATCTAAGCGCCTAAATTTCGCCAAACAGATGTTCGATCCTATGTGCCATATATGAGCAACGTCTTTAGGCTTGCGTGATATTTTTCTGGATAAAATATTGAGTTGGGCACACTTTCTACAATTATTTAAATAATCGTCTTTGGAAACGTATGTTTTAAGATAATTAGAAAATTCGAATTGAAATATGGTGAAGACGAAGTCAAGCCTATTATGAAGCCCATTATAGTACCTGACAGACCATTACAAATCATATTCAGTCCCCGTGTAACATAATCGATATATATTTATTATTGTTTTTTTTTTAACTCTTTAGAAGAAAAAAGTAATTAAATTAAAAATATTTTCATATCTTTGTCCAATGTCACATATTTTTATTATATAGCGCACATAGAAAATTTGTATACGATCTATATTTTATAATTAAATTTTTCTAATCTCAACCAATATTTTGATAATTTATTTTCGGAAAGAAAATACTACCTTGTAAGAACTTTACAAGATTATAATGGATATTTTTTTTTTTACAATATAATTCCCTTTCCATATAAAAAAAATGAAAACTGAATCTGATATACCATTATGCCAATATCTAATCGAGAATATTATTTTGGAGAGCAAGGGGAGTAGTGTTGTTAAGCGGCGCGTTTTGAGCCGATTTTTAAAAACGGCTAATTTCAATATTTTAGCCAGAAAAATATTTTCTAAGCCTCCGAAATTTCGCTATAATAGATGTCGAAACCTTTGTTCCTTCTACAGAACAAAATCTTTCAGGTCTTGCGAATATTTTTCTGGATGAAATATTGAGTTTGCCGTTTTTAAAAATCGGCTCAAAACGAGCCGTTTAACATCACTATCCTTCATTATTAATTTTTTAATTAATTTTTTAACATTTAAAGAACATAAGATTTGAAAAAATTAAGATGATTCAAGATTCCATAATCTCTAGGTATTCAAGAAAATTATTAGTCTGGAATTTTACAGATGCGTGACATAAATTAGAATCCTCTCCCTCTAGTCACAAGAAAATCCTCAAATATAATACGTTTTTTTACAAAATATTATTATCCTTGATCAGGATATTCTAAGCTGGTAGATTTAGACTCTGACTTACATTAAAACGTTACATCGCATATCCGAATCAATTAGAATATATGTCATCATATCGCTAATAAGAAATATAATTCTAACATTTAAAATTAATTGCGGTTTTTTTATCAAGTGATAAAAGATAAAACGGAAAAGTTTTGGGCTTCCAAGATTGAACGCTATATTTATTTATATTTGATTTTTTTAAAAAGAATTGTGTAGTCTGATAACCTTATTATAAAAAAAAATAAAATATTGATATTTTTATACTTTTTAATCAATAAATGATTAATAGTTATAAAATATTAACATTCATATTCATTGTTCAAATAATAATTATTCAAATTAAAGATAATTAATAAGCTGCAAATATAGGAACAAATCACAATTGTATTAAAAAATTAATATTTATATGAAACATTGGTGGGATACCAAAATAGTGTAAGGAATAGTGACCAAGCTACACTAATAAAGCCTAGGATAATTAAAATGTATTAATAATAGATTTCTCCTTGATTGTTTTCTAATACTAATCCTTATATTTTTGAATAGATACCAGAAGTATAAAATATTTACTATTCAAACATGCTCAAAGTTTAAAGCATTTTTCATTAAAATAAAATATTTTCTCTTACTTCCTTTAATGCCAATGCAGGTTTATCCAAATAAGTTAGTTTCCATCTGATTTTTCTTCCCTATTCTTGTCGGTACTGTGCATCAATATTTGTTAGATTCATTTTTTTTATATCCGCCTTTATCACCTTTATCTATGTCATCTTAGACCTCTCTCAAAGTTTTGATCATCCTTCTTCCGTCGAGGTGGATCTCTTTACACAATCATCTTTTGCTTTTCGTTCCATATGCTTAAATCATCTTAGTCTGTTTCTTCTCATTACCACTCCAATCTCTTCTATTCCCATCCTTGCTCGCAATTCCCTGAAAGTTAACCTATCTCTCAATGATACCCCACACATCCATCTAGTCATCTTCATCTCAGTTCTTTCCAATCTAGCTTTATGTACCACTTTCAATTGCCCACATTTTACAGCCATAAACTAAACAACTCCTCACACAGCTTACTTAAGCTTTTCCATTAACTTCAGATTGATTTTTTAATTGTTATATTAGATGACATCTTGAACTTATTTGAATTATTCAATTAACAACAGAATTCTCACCTCCATCTGCGTTTAGCATGTCAGCGAAATAGCAAAACATTTCCCATTTTATCAGGGTTCACACATTGCCAATCCAAACATTTTTTTTCTACAATATCAACATTATGTATCCTTTTTACGCCTGTTTTCAGTATTGCTACATCAGACTTCCTTATTTTCCACTTCCCCTTTGTATACAGAGATAATAATTCTTCTTCGCCAATCCTCAGGTATAGTTTTTGTGTGTGACAATTAGATTCCAGAAATTCGTTAGTCATTCAATCCCCAAGTCATCGGAACCTTTAAACATTTCTAATACTTCGTAATTTCATCCTTACCAGCCTTCACCATACATCTTTTACCTCTCACAAATAATTTTATTATCCCATTCATTCTTTGTTCAGAAGTTTTCCAGGTAGGTCATACAGATGTTCTTAATTCTATTATTATCGATCATCATTTTTCCTTCATATATTTTTCGCATCTGCTTTGCCCGGATCAATTTTTCCCTATCTTCTGCTAATTCCATGTCATTGGTATTACTTTCTTGACATTTCTCTTCGATTCTTTGTATGTATCTTTGTCACTATTTTTTAAGCTATTATATCATTTATTGTAACGTTTCCGTTTTTCGTCCATAGCTTTCGTTGCCACGGAATTCCACCACCTGTATTCATATGTTTAGGCGGCCCTTTTGACTATCCACATATATCCTCAGTTATCCTCAAAGGCTTTCTTCATGGGTTCCCGCTTGTCATTTACCCCAGATTCTTGTGCAACCTTCGCCTCTCTTATGGCCAATGTCGTATTAAATTGACGTCAACCACTATCCTCCTATAAATTTCAAACTTTCAGCCTTGGCAAAACTTTTTTTTACTGATTTTAGTGATCCTAATGCCTTTAAAAGTACGATCACTTATAACTAATCGGTCCTGTTTAATACATTATTCCCCCGGTATTATTTTAACAATTTATACTATGCATCTATCACATCTTCTTACTAACAAATAATCTAGCACTACCCAATTTGCAAGTAGGGAAGACCGGGGTACATTGAGTACAGGGGAACGTTAGGACATTCTAATTATAATTTGAGCTATTATTTTATAAGACTGGAAATTTGAGCCTAACATAGATAATTTTGTCATACATGATTGGCTAAAAAAGATTTGAAAAATATTTAGTATTTTAATTTTTACAGAAGAAAATGTGTTTTGGCATACCAAAAGTAATAAAAAATATTTGCAAACTTTATCGTTTATATTTATAAATAAAGCTTGCCAGATTTTCCCCACCTTATTCATAATTCAATAATATTTATAATAATATTTTTAGCCTTTATTTACTAATTCGCGCTTATGAATATTTAAAGAAGAAATAAAGGTTATAACCCAATTTTTATTTTAAGTTAGGTATAATATTATAAATAAATTTTTTAAAAATTGAAATAAATTTAGTGTCAATTTTTTTTATAAAATTGGCTTAAAAACTAGTTTCAACTAAAATCATAATAAATAGATTTTAGGAAAGCCTAAACCCTATTTTCCAATCTGGCAAACTTTCAGAATCAATAAACATGAATTAATATGATTTTGGATGATATTTATAAAGTTAGTGGGCTCGGTCATAGTTGGTCATAGTACAGTTGGGACACGCCATTTTAGCTCATTTTATAAACAATTTTATAATTTTATTATTAATTTAGTATTGTGAATAATAAATAATTAAATACTTATCTTTCACTATGTTTATGATTAAAAAAAAAATTTTTTACATTTTTTTCTTTACAATTTTTTTTTCGCCAAAATAAATTTCCTAAATTTTGCTAAAATTTTTTTTTATATAGTTATTGATTATGAATTATAATATTATCAATAAAATCATATGTGTCATAGTCTCTAGTCTTACTGGATTACTGATTTTAAATTTTTAAATTTATTTAGACCTCTATTTCACGAGTGTCCCAACTATCACATATGTGTGTATACAGATTAGTCTACTAATATTAAAATTACTAAGGTTTGAACGAAAAGTGTCCCAACCATCCCCGCTCTCCCCTACATCAGCTTCTGATTATTTCTTAAATATCGTATTAGAAACAATCAAATCCATAGCATTATCAAAACTGTCTCCCCTTCCAGATTCCTCGCCCGAAACTAAATCTCCCATGTACTCAATCATAACCCAAACTACTCGCTCCCACATTCCCATTTAGATCACCAGCTAGATCCTCTCTTTATGACAGTCTCGATGTCGCCTCCAATCGACTGTTACAAAATGCATTTTACACTTCTTCACTTCTGCCAACCTGAGGCTTATATTGAGATATTATAGCATAGCTTTTTACCAAAGATCATCTTGATAATCATTATCGTGCTACTTAGTCTTCCTACTTCTATTACATTGTCCATCCATTTCTCAGCAACAAATTAATCAACGTCAGTTTTACCGTCATTATTTCCTTTTCGGAAAACTTTCTATTTGTTTGTCAATCATTTTTGCACCATTACCCCATCTGGTCTCTTGTATGCGACATATTGCAATCTATGCAGTGTACATCGATCACTTCTCCCGCCCTTCCTCTCATTCTCCTTGCATTCCACATCGCTATTCTTCCTTTGACTAATAGACTGGTTTCTTAACATTTTACGGTCGTTTATGGTCTTCATTAGGGATGTAAATTCCCCGGGAAACTATATTTCGGGGAAATTTCCCGGGAAATTTGGGGAAAAAACGGGAAATAATGGGGAAAAAACGGGAAACTATCTTTTTTATAATACTTTACAGGTCAATATTGATTTTTTTTTATGTTTTATTGAAAATATATAGATTATAAACATTATAATTAAACAAATATAAAATTATTTTCAACTAATTTGCAATTACTTTACATGTTTTATTTGAAATGTTATATATAGACTAAATAATATTTAAACAATTAATTTTGAATAGTTAATTATCTTCGTTTGAAGATGAAAATGATTCCAGATCAGAGCTTGAAATTCTGGAATCCAGCAATTTGTCATTTTCAGAAATTTCCTTTCCCATAAAATGTAGATTGGCTCTTATATAAACTAATTTTTTTATTCTATTTCTAGATTTAGAATGAATATTTCCAAAGGGGGACCATATTCTTTCGGATGCTGCACTTGTTGGTGGTACTGATAAAATTCGTATGGCTAGG